GCTGCTATCAATGGTTGCATTTTTTATTTAAATATATAGCAACTTTTGAAAACAGCGTATTAAAAAAAATGAATATTTTTTTCAAAAAATCATCACATGAAAACTATTGATCTGATCAAGATGACATCTGAAAAGAAGTTGTAGGTAGTTAAATTTTTTTTTTTTTTTTTAATCTTTATTTTAGAGATTTTTAGCCTGAGGCTAGTTCATCTCTTCTGGTAGTTAAATTATCTTTAAGTTAAAAATATACTTAAATAAAAAAATAAGTAAATTAATATTAAAAAACGTAAAACGTTGATTATTTCAAAACAGCCCCCCTTTAATCTTTATATTTTATTTTATCAAGAAAACTGAAGAAATTTTCTAAAATTTGGTGAAAATGTTAGGCTGGTAACTTGCTTTTAAAAATCTATATTTGTTTAAATTGTTTGTTAATTTTTAAAGTTTATGAAATTGCATATTTTTTTAGTAAAACAATAATTTATTTGAGTTTTCCGCCTAATTTTCAATAAATTTGCCGATAGTAATTTCCATATAAACTTCAAATGGTTTGTGCCAAGTCAGTTTCTTATCAAATGAGTTTAAACTTTCGGAGGCTAATCAGGACCTGATTTAAAACCGTTTGAAAACTGCGGTGCGAAAATTTCAAATTTGCATCAGTCTATTGGATACCCATGATGCTTTGGTTGAATGTCTCAATATTATGGGACAAACTGATTCTATTGACAACATAATCTGCTGAAGTCGATGAAGCAAGAGACGTAGCCGATGGGATGATATTCACAACAAGGTTGCAAAAACTCATTTCAGCTAAAGCAATGTTTTTTTAATTATGAAATAATTAGATGCTATGATCATATTTTGAATTAGTAGGATACAAGAAGAGGTTGCAATGAATGTGTTTGACATATCAAACCTGTTTATTTCACTTCATAAGAGTCACAATCAGCGCTTTTTCACAAACTCACTAACTCACTCACTCACTCACTCAGCGATCAGAAAATTGCTGATTGTGACTCATAGTGGGGCCTCCCTTAGCTCAGTCGGTAAAGGCGCAGCTACAAAGCAAGGCCATGCTGGAGGTGGCTGGGTTCGATTCCCGGTCCGGTCTAGGAATTTTTCGGGTAGGAAAATTTCTCGACTTCCCTGGCATAGAAGTATGATTGGACTTGCCACACAATTATACTGATGCAAAAATGGTACAGGCATCGAAAGCTCTCAATTAATACCTGAGGAAGTGCATCTAGAACACTAAGTTGAGAGCACGCAATAAGCTAATATGCGATATGCAATAAGCTTGAAATGCGAAGAAGAAGAAGACTCATAGAAAGCAACATTTACAGGTTTTATGTTTCAAACGCATACTTTGTAACCTCTTCTTGTAAGTTACAAGTAAAACATGTCATCATACTATCTTTTGGTTTTATTATTCCGGAAAACATTATTTTAGCTACAACCTTGATTCACAATGGATTCACTCTCGATATCTACGGGTGCTATTGAGCTTAAACCACTGGTAGAAGGTTGTTCTACATCTTGCTACATTCCGTCATTCGAAGGCGTTTTGTTTTATGGCAAACGATAAACTTGACGACGGCATCTACTACAAATTTTCAAAGAATTTATCCAGAGGTATTTTACAACCAATACATTTTAATTTTGCTATAACTCCATCTGACAAGTTTCTTGTTTCTGAACAACACTTCTTTGATTTAGGTAGAGGTTTACAATACTTGAAATGGTTATCCATGGCTAAAAAATAACTTCCCTTTTAACTTGAAGCGCTAAGAGAGATAAACTGAATGGAACAGGTAGGGTAGAGAACTACTTCGGCCTAATCGCCCATTTTGGGCCTATCGAGCAGAAGACTTCAAATAAATCCATGATTTCAGAGTTAACAAGTCAATTATGCGTTTGGTACGATACTTTAGTTAATAAGCTACCGAACGAAGTCAATGAGAATGAAGGTTTGGACCCATTATTCCCAAAAACAAAAGAAGCGCTCCGACCGAATCATGTTTTATCTTCATCCGATACGTTTTTTAATAATAATTTACTAAGTTTTTTTAAGTGTATTTTTTCCTTAAAGATAATTTAACTACCTACAACTTCTTTTCAGAAGTCATCTTGATCAGAACAATAGTTATATCATTTTATATATATCATTCATTATACGCATAATGAGGTAGCAATTTCTGAATATGAAGGAACTGCCATATAATTTCACTTTTTTCTTCACCGCATGAACTTGAAGGGCTTGGGTAAGATTCCTCTTTAACGCATTTGAAACCCACAAACAACAACAAGAACACTTAAAATTCATCGTTTATAAAACACTGGCTGTACAGAATATCTTTGGATTAACAGAGCTTTTGTTTCCTTAGTGATTATTTCACTTCTAAGTTCATCCTTAAATATACCATCATGAATTGTACCTATGAACGAACACATTACCTACCCAGTTTTCCGTATGATTTTAGCATGTGCTCTGCCTAGGTAGCTATTTACTTGTTGAAGTATTCACTTTGAATAAACAAGTCTATAAAAGCAGAAGCAGAAAATTGATATGGATTATGTGATTAGCTGACATATGTACCAATGGAGACGCAGGGTAATCTAGTCGTATTGGAGTAATGAGCGAAATTTCTAAACAGGATAATTTCAAAAAATCAAAACTCAGAAACGAAGAAAAATACATCGCTGATTTTAAATGTAGAAAAGCCTACATTAAAAAAAAAATATAAAAACGTATTACGCTCATTGTCTACAAACCATGAAAACCATAAAAAACAAATGCGATCAAATTTCTTCTATACAAAACTCCAATTTTCAAAAAAAAACTATATTTTTTTCTGAAAAGTATATCTGATAACCTTTCATTTGATATTTTGATCATTCAAATCGATTCAATAGTTCAAAAGTTATGATTTTTTAAAAAGAATCAATTTTTGGAAAAAATAGAAAAAACATCGATTTTTTGGACCAACCTAACACGGAAATGGTCAGCCTAATGAGAAAATAAAAAATACGGGTCTAATATTTTTCGATAAGGAACAAAACTACTAATTGTTACGAAATTCTGAGAACCACTATATCGTTTTGCTATGGAATGGCTGATATATATAAATCTACTATTTATGAATTCTCTGAAGCAAATACTTCAGCGACATAAGCAAAGTGATTGGTAAATAATATTCAGCAAATACTTTATGATCGCAAGGTAATCCTGCTGACTTCAACTGAAAGTGAACGTATGTCCCTATCTGCAATTTGTTGCAATAAAGCTAAACGCACATTACCGCTCAAAACCACAATGATATTTGTTTTGTAAAATCGTATTTCTCTAAAATTAAAATTTGTATTTCGTATCTCTAACGGAACAAGGTGAGCACCACAATTTTTAACTATTATTTACATTTGTTTTGTTAAACCAAACTTCCTTCTCAACTCTTATCTTAATTATTATCAATTTTAATCTCATTTCCGCGATCCCGGAAATTCCCGGTAAAAATATTTTTCATTTCCCAATTCCCGGGAAATTTGGAAACCCTTGAAGATACTGAAAAGCAAAGTACTTGTTGGTCTTTTGGTGAATTTTGATGTTCTACACACTATTATCTAAGTATTACGTGTACCTTATCGATACACGTAGTAGAATTGGCAATGCGCCCGTGTACTGAATGGGATTTGTGAGTTCAAATCCTACCGGGTGATAAATAACAACAAAAATCGCATATTTTCCCATAGGGTAGAGCGCTACTTCGTCGTAATCGCCCATTTCCGTTCTATCGATCAGAAAAGATCAACAATATCAATGATTTCACAGTGCACAAATCAATAATAGTTTTGTTCCGATACGTTAGTTCATCAGCTACAACATAAATCCTATTAGAGCGCATTGTATGAATATTTACGCTCAATTTTCTCAAAATAAAAGAAGCGCTCCTAGCGAATCCAATTTTTCTACCATCATCCGTAGGACGAAGAAAATCTAATGGCGTTTTTTAATGCGTTAGGACGGAATTGAAACTCGTAGAACGAATTTAGAATCAAGAAGCAGTATTAGATTTTAGACAATATCTCAACAATTTGCGACTCTTTATCGAATCCAACGGTACGTATAGAAAGGTAGAATTGGTAGAAGGTAGAAGTCATCATTGACAGACAAATTCAATTTTTTGTTTAAACTCGTTCAGAAAAGAGAGGTAAAGTGCGGGTTGTGCTTAGTAGGACGGAAATTAGATCAAAAACCCTACACATGTGTCATGCTCATCAATGTTTCGCTTCTCAGTATGTTCTCTTCAAATAAAAATCCAAAAATAACTTGCCTAGATCAACCCTAGCGTTTGAGAACTAGTGTACGTTATTTCACCTGGAGGCATATTTAATTTCTGCAGTAGGTACAGGAGTTGCCACTGCATAAGTCATGCAGCCAAAAACGGATAGACACTATAGGTAAACTAAAATGGAAAATTTGGTACAGACGGCAATTCCGTTAGACAATATCAGTGATCTACCTGGGAATACTAGCTACTAAAATTTGAAATTTAGGAAGAACTTCCAGGTAAACTGAGAACATTGATTTATACCCGATATTGGTATATATGCAGCTGGCTGAGGTAGAATCTATCAGTCGAGTTCTACCAGTGATTCGAATTATCCAGTGATTTTCATTCTACCAATAGCCAATGGATGAGGAATTATTTACAATGTTAGAATACGTGCAGCAGAATAGTGTTATTCCCACTTTCGGTGAACCGGACATAGAAGAAAGAATTCACTCAACTAGTGCCAGAGTGCAGAAAATTCCGGATACGTATAACGCGGCGGTAGTATCACAGCCTGTGACTACCAAATTTTGTGAATCATTTCAAGAGTTGTTTAACGTTGATTATGGTGCAGATCCAGTTTCAGCGTTTACGGATGCACCCAACACTGTTTCAGCGGATGTTAATCCGTTTAATCAACAGAATGAGTTTTCAACAAGCAATTTTAATTATATGCTAGCGGAGGAGGATCCATCAATTACAGAGCTTGAAGCTTACCTGCACGAATCACCATCGGATGGGACAGAGACATCTTTGCCGTACATGCCGGAGTTACCATTAGTAGATGCTGGATTCCCGTCAAACTACTACTATCCGCCATGTCAGCCAATAGGGTACCCGTCACAGAATGAATACATTTCATGCGATTTCATTCAACGATCATCGGAAACTAGCCATTCTCCAATTGGTTTAACTGCGAACGGATATGAGGAGGTGCATGATATTAGCGAACAAGGAATACAAATCGGTCATCCCGAACAGATCCAAATGCCGGTTCAACAATCCACACATGGCGAGTCAACGAGTAAGCAGTCAAATGTGGCTTTATTCATCTCTGGATTCGATAAACTTCTGCCATCATCGCTTGCTACTACCGAAGCACCAGCTCCGAAGAAGTCCACTCAAAAGAAGGTTCGAAAAACGAAGCTGAAGCCGGCAGTAGTCAGCGAATGGCGGTGTGTTCCATGCAACAGGATGTTCCGGATGGAAAGGGGATTATTGCAACACAACGGCAGTTATCATTCTGGAGTGAAGCCGTACAGTTGCAACGTTTGTGGCAAACGGTACCACGATCAGCAGACGACGCTACAGCATCAACGACGCCACACAGCAGTGGATAAACCCTTCAAATGCGAATACTGTACGCGGCAGTACCATCACCCGAACGACCTGAAACGGCACATCGATTTGCACCACGGAGTTGCGCGGTATAACTGTAAATACTGTGGTAAGGCATTCGATCGTAACGACCACGTTAAAGATCACGAGACGAGCCATGAAAACGGCACCGTTAAGCGCAAGCGTAGGAATTAGGATAAATTTGTCTGAATGCGAATTATGACATTGTGAACACAAAAATAACGATTATGAAATACATGATATTTTAAGTATTTCGAATTTTATTTACATTAGGTCCATTTGGTTTAAAGTCAAAATATCTGATGTGGACATGTGCTGGTTTCAAATGTTAATTAATTTCAGTGCACTAGAAGTTCGAAAATACCTTGAACAACAATATGTTTTAAATACAATCAAATGCGCCAACTTCAGTATATTTATTAAACGGCGCCGGTGGTGTAGTGGTAAGCGTGATTACCTCTCACCCCAGCAGGCCTGGGTTCAATCCCAGTCGGCGCCGCCGGGTTGTTCTGAGGCATAACATCTCTGATCACGCCTTCCTTCGGATGGGAAGTAAAGCCGTTGGTCCCCGGTTCATGAGTTGATGGGTCGATAGGTAGGGTCCAGGTGTGGGAGCTGCCTTCCTGGCACGTCGGTAGCATTGGTGCTCAGCACGGAAAACAAGATCGACGGAAAAAACAAACCAAAGGTATATTTATTAGGGTGGTTCAAAATATTGATTTAGCTACACCAAGCTAAATCGATTGCAAATCAGATCCTGATCATTCTCTCAAAATTTGAGGTCATTTGGTTGAGAACTCATACTGTACAGACCCTTTGAAATTTAGAAGGCAATTACCATGGGAAAAGTGAACTTTTTGTTCTCCTCATCCTAGCCTTTCGCCATAATGAGAGAGACGTGAGAGTGATAAGTAAAGTAAAATATGTCAGTTGAATCTATAATATTATTCTAATTCGGAAGCTCAAGGACTCCAATACACAGTGGGGCGATCCTATACAAAATCGGTTGTAATGAAAAAGTTGTATATAATCGAAACCAACATATTGTTATTGTATTGTATTGTATTGTATTGCCTTGATTCAAATTTATCGGTTCAAAATATTGTAATATTGGGGTGTTGGTGTTCCCATATGTTTAAATCTAACATAAGGGAAATGGATGTCATGTCGGCCTAAATGCTCCTAATTTGGGCCCATACATAAATTCAGCAATCGACTAAATTTTCAATAGCGACCAAAAATATCCATTAGTACCGTCCCAATGACGCGTTCATTTAGATAAAATTGATAAATAGCAGATTTTTAGCGATGAACCCAATCTTAGACCCATAGGCCAAGATTAGAGCCATTTCCCCTACCATATATTTTTAAGGCAATTTCAGAATCCAAAGTCGGTCGCGGCATGAAAGTGGTCTGATTTTGATCCAGAGATGATGGATTTTAATTCTAAATACGCAAATCGATAGGATATTTTTCTACGAATCTGTTAATTTAGGATTTATCATTTATCAAAATGTCACTATTGGAAATTGCACGAACGTGCAAGTGTTGATATGATAATAAAATGGTCACCGATTGCCTGCGAAAAGCGCTTTCCCTAACACAGATTTCAAAATTGAATTCCATCTGGTCTCACGCAACCGCTGATCGGATTCAATTGTTCATCGCTAGCCGCTGTGGGTCATCTATGCCGAGTGCATCACCCTCGTTCCAAACAACATACAGCTCGTCAGCCTCATCCGTGTTGAACACCCTAATAGCTCAGCATTACTCAACCATCACGACAAAGCGGTTCTTCATAAATTATTGTTGTTTAAGAGTTAATTTTCATTGAACGTTCGCTTGCCTTGCTGCCAGCCACATCACCCCAAAGCTCTTTGATGATGTACCCAGCAACCAAATGTTTGTGGTCAAATGCGTCAAGTATTTAAGTGGTATATAAAAATTCTCGCAATGACCGAAAACCACACTTTTTTCCTTATTTGTTTTCCGTCGATCTTGTTTTCCGTGTTGGGCACCAATGCTACCGACGCCAGGGAGACAGCTCCCACACCTGGACCCTACCTATCGACCCTTCAACTCATGAACCGGGGACCAACGCAGCTTTACTTCCCTTCCGAAGGAAGGCGTGATCAGAGATGTTATGCCTCAGAACATCCCGGCGGCGCCGACTCGGATTGAACCCAGGCCTGCTGGGATGAGAGGTAATCACGCTTACCCTTACACCACCGGCGCCGCTGATCGAAAACCACATGACCATGCCAAGTAACCTGAAACACTTCGTAAGGTTTTCTCCAGGACGCTAGAAAAAGCAAAAACATCTCGAATTTATATGATTGATCGCGAATATCTCACGATTGGAAAATTTTTAGCAAGAAATTGCTCCAATCAATTTTCGCTTTTTTTAATATCTATTGAATAAACCAAAAGCTCGGTACGTTTTGTTCACAAAAATGCATAATTTTGACGTCAGAAAACAAAGCGTTTCCGTTTCCCTAACACAGTCGCCGAATATTGATACCAAGCACTGAGCATGCCAGACTGTACCTATCTTTATGCCTTTTGATGCAATTTTTAAACCCCACCCAATAAGAGAATCATGCCAAAAAAATATCTTGCAAAATTCTCTTAATAGAAGAGGCTTAAAATTTGCATCAAAAAGCATAAACGTAGGTACCGTCCGGTAGGCTCAGATTCTGTGATTGATGTGTTTTCTTAATACATATTTCATTTCCACACCGCTATCATCTCCAGGACAAATTTCCACAGCATTGTTCTAAACTAGCTTCCAAGCTTCCTTTTTCCATCGGTCCTTTTCAGGACCACAAATGACTGATAAAAGAGTTAACTAAAGAGTATTGGCTTGTACTACATGGACATCGACATAACACCTCACAAACAGAACTCTCAAATTGCTTCCTATCGAACTTTTCCACTGATAACGAGTTAAGAAATCAGTTTAATATATACTATACTTTTGCTGTGACATCAAAATTACCTTTCGTAATTCTACGTCAAATCTACGGTCGTGTCTTGGATACAACCTTCTACTTTTTATAGATACGTGTCGTAGCTTCAATTGGAATAAATAACTTTTTCTTTTCTCAGACATGTGTTTTTTCATAAGCCCAAATGAAAATTCTCATTCTTAAGTCATCACCCGTTAATCGAGAAAAATCTAAAAATCACAATTCATTTTCAAATTCATACCTATCAAGCCTATATATTTAACATGAGCGCCAATCAAATTATCATGATACGACCGTACCCATCACTTTAAAGTTAATCCGTTACCTCCAACTACTAAACCAACTGAAAACATAGTCAGTTCCTATGAGGCAGACACATTAACACGCAAACGATCCCTTTCATCGGTGGTATCGTTTAGCGTGTTTAATAAACCAAATCAATACGAACTGAGCACATACAATATCGTCTCATTCACAACAATTTAACACATTCGAAAAACTTCAATGCTATCTAAACGATCTGCCCAACATAGCAGCGTACAAAAATACTTATGTGAATGCACAAAGTTGCGTACCATCACACCGCAGAGAATAAGTACCTACCTACTTCACATTGCATGCCACCTGCCTAAATTGGCGCTACAGTAAGCCATTAAATATATCCGCGCTATACCTTCCTTTGATGAACCCCGATGAGCGCGGTTTAGCCAAAACAAACTCTCGCGCGTGAAATGGATCCCCTTCTGTGCCAACCTACCGTACCCAGCGCCATATAATTACCTATTTGCAATTGTTCAGCGTAAAGAAATCCACTTTTTTTGTTTGTGTATCGTCCAATTGCTCACGATATGTATGCAATGTAACAAACAGAAGGAGAACATATTGTTATTAAGTGAATTTATGGCACCTAATGATAATGCAAACAAGCCTTCAATTCACAATCCACATACCCAATGGCGGATTTGACGGAGAAGGTGCAAGAAATCGCACATTCCGTTTGCGTTAATTGCTACCATAATTGTTGGGCAATTGCATATTTTTTTCTGCAGCCAAAGTGGTTTATCATTAAACACTACACGATGTACACACTTGCATGGCATCGGATGCACTTCTTTTAGCCGGTAATTAGGAAAAACTTATTTACAGACTCAATATGGGTTCAAAAATCCATGTACGCGTGGTGGTAGTACGATGTAAAAGTAATTGTTACAAACTGCAGTAACTGACTTTCGGTGAAATGATTTTCAGTTAGTTACTGGATATGCGTGGCGCAGCTCAGTTGGCCAACGATCGTTGATAATAGAATAGTATTGGTTGAAATGTATGAAGAGTTATTTCATATTTGCTATAACCCTAGCAGCACACCTGCTGTAGAATGGTCGTGAAAACTTGTATGTGACTTAATTCTTAGCATCATAACTGTTCTACTTTGGAGTTCTAAATCAAGTCAACTTACTTCAACTGCCTTTCTATACATGAATAAAATATCTGAAATATCAAACATTGTTTTAGCCAATTTTTCACATACCTAAAACATCATTTTCACGTTTCCTTTCCTCAGATCCCACCATGGCCGATGCACTGAAGCTGGCCGATATGCAACGGGCCAGTGTCGAGTTCGAACGGCAGCGACATTTAGCCAACTGGCTAATCGAGTCCAGTCCGCACATGCCGAAACCCACACCTCAGCAGCAAAAGCAACTGCAGCAGCAAGTCAGCAAGAAGGGCAAGTTCAAGCAGAATCCAATGTTCTTCCTGGCAAAGATCGGTCATAACATGAACATTGCCAGCAGCAACAATCCACCCCTCGGTAACAATTTGATCAGTAGCAATTCGATAGCGTCTACGTTCAATTCGCAAACCAACCTGCCACTAGCGATAGTATCGTCTTCCGGCCGAGACGGCCACAAGCCCAAGCTGAGGCGATTCAATTCGCACGACACCAGCGCCAATATGTTCTCGGTGGCAGAATTCGAAAACGCTCGCCTCGCGCGAAGAAACGAAATCGAGAGCGCCGCTCTCCTGAGGCAACGACAACGATACAAGCTGAACTCCCTTTCGTCCGGTGGAGACTGCTCCACGGGAGAAAGCAAAGGATCCAAGCTCAGCAGCGAATCGACCTCAGAACCACTGTTTGCCGAACAATTTGTGGAGAAATTTTCCCTCCCCCGTGTAGTACGGCTGTCGTACACCTCGGACGGAGCCAGCGGAAGTAGCTCCGGTGATCAGACCATGACCTCGTCCAGCTCAGCCGAGTCGACGAGCACCTCGGAGAGGAAGAAAAAGAAGAAAACTGCCATTTCCAGTCCGTCAAATGGGGAACTCTTTCTGCTGTATCGGTTTATGCGCAGCTACAAGATCTACCACGTGTTCAACACGAAGTCGGGCAATAATCGCAAGAAAGGATACAAGGTACCGCAGGATTATCCCGGTAAGTGATTGCTTATGACTTATGACTTCACTAATGACATGCATACTACCCATAACCTCATATCAGTCCCCATCGTTGCATGATTTCATTTCTATATGTGACATATATGCGATTATGGGTAAACATAGTAATTTTTTAAAGCGAGCTTTGGTTATTTGGTTGGTAACAATACAAACAACAATGATTATACTAAAATGTAAAAAAAAAACTAGAAAATGTTCAACTTCAAGTCGGGAGGTGATCTTAGAAAGCACTTCATAGGCTGCGTTGAGAATACTGATCGCTCGGTAGGCCTGTCATTCGAACTGTTTGTGCCTTTTTGTGTATTGGGCATTAGGCTGGGTCAACTTAACAACCCCCTACTCCTCATAGCTCTTTCGATTCTAATTGAGGTTCCCAACAACTGTGCCAAATTTGAATGAATTTGGTTGTGATATGGATTTGCGGGAGAGCTTTATAATTTGTAAGGGAAATGGTTCGAAACTGTTCAATTGTATAATGTATGATAATTGTCTACCACTCATTGTAGCACGGAAACTAAGTCTGATAGCAGTGGGCGCTCCTCACTGTTTGATTTGATGGAGCTTAATAACCTCTGATTGTACTCAACATGTCACTGTATGAAGAGCCAAAAACGGTTTTGGTGGATCGATAGGTAATTCACCTATACGCTTCCACGGGATGATAGAGAATCTCCTTCCAGCCACATGATCATACAATTGGTCAAAAAACGAGCCGTCCGACAGAAGGATACCCCAATGAGTGTGGAGAAGAGCCCGCCCTTTTTCCACGAGATGTTAGCAACAGGGAGTGGACTATTTCACTCTCCCCATCCAAATCGCTTCAATTGCCCACCGGTGCCCTGGGGACCCCCTTCCCATCATTTATTGGTTCATATAATAATATAATGTTTTATATGCATATGCTGTCATTTTGTGAAAGTATATACGGTGACTTACCTTTGATGATGAAGTAACTTACCTAACTGATAAACATCTTCCTTCTTGTCTTTTGTTTGTCGGATTGACAACATTGCCGTGGCTACGCCACCCAGCTGTATCCATGTTTCAGCTGGTAGTCGTTTGTAATCATATGACTCTGGAGGCGTGAGGTAGGGACTTGTGAGGACCGGAGCTAGGAATCACTCTCCTTTCAGGTTGTCAGCTCACCATTTTGTAGCCCGGTTCGAAACTGTTCAATTGCTTGTCAAAAATTTAAAAATCGCTCAATTTTTACCAAACCTGAGACTTTGATTGAGAAGGCTATATAGAACAACTTCGCTCAAGACCGCAAATAGGTTCGACAACTGTGCAAAAAGTTATTATTTTTATGTATGGCCATGTGTTCCGCGCATACCTGCTGGGTGCATTTAAGATTTTAGGTCTGCGCGGAGTACCAGGGCGATCTAAGTCTGTAAATTGAGCAATTTTTGAAATTTAGCTAGGGTAAACGCTTCTATAGTTGCGGTACTTTAGAAGCGTTAGGTTCATATAGTTGTGTATTGAGTCTCCATGCACAACTATAGAAACCTAACGCTTCTAACGTACCGCAACTATATGAGCGTTTCCCCTAAGTAAATTAATAGTTTTGTTCCGTTTCCCATACATTCACTATGGGCAAAAATGGGTCCAAAATTACCCAAAATTCAATATCTCAACAGCACGCTGAATTCCGGCCATGAAAAACGAATTTTCCGAAGGGAAATCGTCCGGGAAATCGATTGCACGTGGTCCCATAGACCGGAGAGCCTTAAAGGTATGTGTTTTGGGCCATTTTACCCCATTTTCCCCTACTTTTTGGAGGAAATGTTTTTTCACAGCTCTATTTTTCGTAAAACATAGGCACTTTATGCATGGTTTTAGAAAACTATGACATTAAACAACAGTTCATGAGATATTAGAGGAATACGGGGTACACTTTATAGGGGATTGAGGGGTATAAGTGAAAATACAATCAATTTATTTTTAATACAAAATCCATTTTTTTAATATCATAATATTTTTTTCTGAAAAATACTTTTAATTAACTTTCATTTGGTGTTTTGAGATCCGTCATCGGCCAAACAGTTCAAAAATTATAACTTTTTAAAAAAATCGATTTTTTTTTCTGACCGCCCTAATATATAAATAGTTACCCTAATGACAAAATAAAAAATACGGGTCTAATATGTTGCGATAAGGAACAAAACTACCAATTTTTACAAAATTCTGAGAACCACTTTATCGTTGTGCTGTATACATACAATAAAAGTGAACACTCTTTTAAAACAGATAGCAGTAAATTAAAACTTATTTAACCCCAATTAACCTTAAAATTTCGAAAAAATATATCTTATTATTGCAGGCAACCTTTGGGGTCATTCAAACAATCGCATCGTTCAACATTTTTATGAATTAAAATAAATTTACCGAGGGTTCACTTTCACCCCTTACTCCCCTATAAAGTGTACCCCGTATTCCCCTAATATCTCAACAACTGTTGTTTAAAGATATAGTATTCTAAAACCATGCATAAAGTGCTTATGTTTTACGAAAAATAGAGCTGTGAAAAAACATTTCCTTCAAAAAGTAGGGGAAAATGGGGTAAAATGTTCCAAAACAGATACCTACAAGGCTCTCCGGTCTATGAGACCACGTGCAATCGATTCCTCGGACAATTTTCCTTCGGAAAAGCCGTTTTTCATGGCCGAAATTCAGCGTGCTGTTGAAATATTGAATTTTGGGTAATTTTGGACCCATTTTTGCCCATAGTGGCATTGTTTTCCATTCAAATTTTAAAGCTCTTCCGCAAATCCAGAACATCACCGAATTCATTTAAATTTGGCACAGTTGCTGGAGATTTCAATACGAATCGAAAGAGCTATGGGGAGCCGCGGAATGTGATCTACCATATAAAGTTGACCTATTGGCCATAAAAATTCCTCTTTCCACTCTTCCGATAACTGTTCTGTCACGATCTGGGCTATAGTCGGTGCAGCCAAACAGCAAACGTATCCGGGTTCTTTTTAAATAAGTTCTGCTCCGATACCATCGAGTGATGTGCGTTGTTTGAGTATCGGGGACACTCTCGAGTATCTTTGAATCTTACGGCAAGGCGATGGACTTTCGTGTCTGCTACTCAACATCGCGTTAAAAGGTGTGGTCAGAAGAGCTGGGATAGATACAAGTGGCACGATCTTTAGGAAGTCCATCCAGCTGCTTGGCTTCGCCGATGACATCGACATCATGGCACGGAACTTTGAGACGATGGCGGAAACGTACATCAGACTGAAGGCTGAAGCTAGGCGGATTGAACTTGCCATCAACGCATCGAAGACAAAATACATGAGAGGAAGAGGTTCTAGGGTAGACAATGATAGCCTCCCACCCCGAGTTCAGATTGCGGTGACGAAATCGAGGTGGTCGATGAGTTCGTGTATTTGAGCTCATTGGTGACCGCCGAAAATGATACCAGCAGAGAAATTCAAAGACGCATTATGGCAGGGAATCGTGAATAAAATTCGCCGCCGCACGAAGTTGACTGACAACAAGATGCTAATTAGACCGGTGGTCCTCTACGGGCACGAGACCTGGACTATGCTCGTGGAGGACCAACGCGCCCTTGGTGTTTTCGAACGGAAGGTGTTGCGTACCATCAACGGTGGAGTGCAGATGGATGACGGAACGTGGAGGAGGCGAATGAATCACGAGTTGCACCAGCTGCTGGGAGAACCATCCATCGCCCACATTGCAAAAAATGGGCGACTACGGTGGGCTGGGCACGTCGTAAGAATGCCGCACGACGCCCCGGGGAAAATGGTTCTCGAAAACGACCCAACAGAAACAAGAAGAAGAAGCGCGCGACCTGCGAACCCCGCGAAGTGTGGCCATGGATCGAGTAGAGTGAAGACGACTTCTTCGGACAGTAGAGGAGAACAAGGCCTTAGCCTGATTGGTGAGTAAGTATCGTTGGCTTTGCTGATATTATAGGCGAGACGAGAGAAGCAGTACTAATACATCCTGGAGCGGCTGATAACTAAATGCACGAGGCGAAACTACATATAGCTGACCACAAAACGGAAGTGCTATTATTGGCCAGTAACAGAAATGTGGTGTAATAGGCAGAAATCATCGTCGGGGTCATTGCCTCAAAGCGCATGCTGAAATACCTGATAAACGTCAGCGAAACCTGTGAGAAGGCAGCGAAGGCCATCACTCAAGACCAAGTAGTTGCGAAAGGCGTTTTCTTGTTAGCGGTTGTATGCAAGGTTGCAAAGATTCATTTCAGCTAAAACAATGTTTTTCTAAATTATGAAATAATTAGATGCCATGATCAAATTTTGAATTGGTAGGATACAAGAAGAGGTTGCAAAGAATGTGTTTGACATATTAAACCTGTTTATTTCACTTCATGAGAGTCACAATCAGCGATTTTTCACAAACTCACTCACTCACTCACTCACTCACTCACTCACTCACTCAGCGATCAGCAAATCGCTCATTGTGACTCATAGAAAGCAAAATGTACAGGTTTTATGTTTCCAACGCATACTTTGTAACCTCTTCTTGTAAGTTACAAGTAAAACATGCCATAATACCATCTTTTGGTTTTATTATTCCGAAAAACATTATTTTAGCTGAAATGAGTCTTTGCAACCTTGGTTGTACGTAGATACCGATGGTTTTATTATACCCTTTTTTTCATTTAACGATTGCCAATTGGTGATTAATCACTGATGACAATCGAGTGCCAGGGAGACGATTTCCACACCTGGAATCTATCGAACCCATCAACACATGGGCCAGGACCAACGGCTTCACTTCCCTTCCGAAGGTGACCGGAGATTTTTTTTTTATTATAGTCTTGTAGACCATGATTTAGTCTTGAATCTTGCTTTAAAACTTTGATAAAACTTGCAATGTTACTTACTTGAGTACACAGGTACGGTGGTCCAATCTGGGTTACAGCGCTGGGCTACAGTGCTGGAATCACAGTGGAACCAAGTGAGGTTGAACAAAATG